ATCATGTCTCCCCTAGTCCTTCTTTTCATTAAACTAGACATACCCAGTTCCTGCAACCGTTCCTCATATGTTTTAGCCTCCAGTCCCCTAATCATATTTGTTGCTCTTCTCTGCACTCTTTCTAGAGTCTCCGCATTTACATCGGGATGAGCAAACCAGATGCAATATTCCAAATGCAGTCAAGGCATTATAAAGTGTTGTGCAACTGTAGCTATTATTTCTTTGTCACAATACGGTGTAGAACAACTTAATTTTTAACGGTGTTTCTGACTCTACACCAGAGGGCACTTTTGTCAAAGAATTCCAGTCTGGAGCTTCTTTTAGGCAGCTCCTCTAATGGCTCTTATTCAAATCTTTTCGAAAGCCAATAAACTCCATTCAAGGACTTGAAATTGAGTGTAATAAAGTGCGTGCTTCAATGCCGGTGATCATCTCCCATGAGATCGTAGGCAAAGAAAATGAAAACTAGGAGGACGAAGGAATAGCATGTATCTTCACCACCTTGAGTTCCTTAGAAAGCGATAAAGTTGGGATTTTTAAAAGTCTAATAAAATAAGAAAAACCTGGGCTAGAATCTGCTACCCCTAAAAGGGCCCAGAACTGATTGAATAATGTACTTGAAAAGGAGAAAACCAAAAGGGGATGTTATCATTATGTTCGTTATCTGGAAGATTATAACCATGTAGAAGATGATTAGGAATAGAGTAGAGTTGGAAGGGACCTTGGAGGTCTTCTAGTCCAACCCCCTGCCTAGGCAGGCAACCCTACACCACTTCAGGCAAATGGTTATCCAACATCTTCTTAAAGACTTCCAGTGTTGGGGCATTCACAACTTCTGGAGGCAACTTCTGTTCCACTGATTAATTCTTCTGATTGTCAGGAAATTTCTCCTCAGTTCTAAGTTGCTTCTCTCCTTCATTTGTGGGGGCGCGCAGAGGGGGACCCCCGCATTGCATTATGGATGCGCATGCGCGCTTTCAGCATGCAACGACAAAAAGTGTAGCCATCACTGCTATAAGCAGCTCCTGGTTCCTGATGGCCAAGAATTGACCTTGGGAGCCTATAATTTCTCTTTAGTGCTACATTCTAGTTTTTATGTTCCAACCTCCAAACATTCCTTTTTCTTTGAAGTCGGACACAAATAATATTTAAAGTGGGGAAGTGATTTTTTCCCCCTGGCCGGTTGTAATTCAGAATATGCTATGCCACTTAAGACTTTACTCCGCAGAGGGACTCTACAATAATAACTGTTTTTGACCTCTGCTATTACATTGTACTTGAAAAGGTTTTTTTATAAGGTTAATATTTTCTTGTAACCAAATTGCAGAGCAAAACACTGTGTCCGGTGTTTTATGCACTGGAACTTGTAACAGCTACCTACAGGCCAGTCTTGAATTTGTTTTTTTACTGTGTGTTCCAGAAACAATTTGTCCCCAAGTTGGTGTTTATTAAATTGCCACGGAGAATGATAACGAATGAAAGTGACTATATCTGGTAGAAAACGTTGGTTTACTTACATCTCATGCAAAACTTCTCATTTGAATAAGCTTTTTTAAAATAATTTGAGCAACAATTTAATTAGACATTTTACACGCTTTGCTAATTCTTCCGATCTTATAAAAACATGATTAGATTTTTAAAGATCCAGGCAGAGATTTAAAACTATTTTTAATAGACCATTTTAATAAGTAAGATAACCTCTATTGCCATTGACTGCAAGCACACTGGCACACATAAAAATGAAAATTTATTTTTTTTAAATATACAATTTTTAAAAAGTAAGCATANGCAATAGGTAGTAAAAAAATGCTTTAAAAAGTTTTTAAAAGTTCCAATGATCACACGGCGCACCTGATTGTTGCACAGCTGATTTTTAAGCATTTTTTTTACTACCGGTTCAGGCAAAAAGCAGCATTTTTTTACTACTGGTTCAGGCGAACCAGCCTGAACCAGTAGATTTCATCCCTGATTTTGTTCCTTTAGACTTAGTAATATTAGTTTAGAACTAACAGAACCTGGCATTCACATGAAATCTTTCTGCATGTTGTAGCTAGTATTCTGTGTGAAAATTTCTCCACTCTAGTACTGTTTACTGTGGTTACTTCTTGTTACCCTTATGTATCTTTTGAAAATAAATCACCCAGCCTGGATATTTCACGTTTTAAATGGAGAAAAAATTTGTTAGTACTACCATCTGCTGGTTAAAGCTACTGCTGGCAATTACATGAAAAAGCGGAAGAAGGAAAGTTATTTTAGTGGTTTTATGAAAATCTACTTTGCTGTCTGTATTTGTGACAGCAATGAGCAAACTGGAAATAGAATTGAGGAGAAAGAATATGAAGGATGCTTACCTGGATCAAACTGAACTCTATCTCATCATTGGCTCATTGTGTCTAAGCTCAGAAGCAAAACGGAGTTAAGCTTAGTTAATACTTGGTTCAAATCAAGTCCAAATCAAGACTACACTAACTTATTCCAAGGCTTGAAACTGGACTGGGAAATTAAAAAAAAATATATCCATGGGACACTAGTGGAACTATATCTTTGGTACTTCTACAAAACCATGCACAGACATTCCAATCTACTTACCTGGAGTTGAGCTCAACTTGAAAGAACATTATTTTTTTAATGTCCATTTGATTAGGCTTTGTTGAGAGGACTGACAGAAGACTAGTCCCTTCTCAGGGCCTTCATTTTCCACCTGTTTTTTTATTAAGGGGTCAACTGGTCAATCAGTATAGACCCCTAACTTCTCAGAGCTGGCCAGTCTGATTGATTGATAAGTGGAAAAAATAGATGGAGCAATGGACTCCTACATATACTCTTCAGGTTGCCTACTCATAGATTATATTTTATGATGTTCTGGTAGACACCTGATTGTTTTTCCTGTGATATATGTTTGCATTAATCAAAATGCAGAACAGTAGACCTATACTGTATTTCCTCCTGGCCACTCTATTGGCTGATTAAAAAGGAGAATTTGCAAGGATATGGGCAGCATATAAGCAACAAATATGCAAACTTCATCAAATCACATATTGCTTACCTGTGTAGCGCAATCAATTAAAGACCTCCTCATGAAGCTAAAATTAAGAAATGCCTTATTTTTCATTGGAACTCAGAAGCTAGCACAGCTTGGTTTCCATATATCCATGTTGATACAATATCATTATTAGGCCAGCTCAAGATAACAAAACTAAATATACCAGTGGTGGGTTTCTAACCGGTTTACTATAGTTTGCTCGTGCTCATGCGCAACCCTTCTGCACATGCACAGAAGCATACGGGTGGGTGGGCGGAGCCTCCTGCCGCCACCACTACCAGTTTGGCAGACCGGGCCAAACCGGGAGCAACCCACCTCTGAAGTACACACTGTGAAATAACATTTCATTGGATAAGATGGCTAAAAGAAGAAATCCCAGTGGGAGGTAAGACTCAGTTCATGAGTTCATCAGCAATAACTCTTTTTACATAATTTTTATTAAACAAGGAGTATAAATCCTACCATTCCTCACCATCCAGTCAGAGCTTAAGAAGCTTCTTGGATGAGAAGGGAAATATCTTCAAAAGAAAACCAGAAANGCTGAGGAATAGTACAAGAGCAACAAAGATGATAAGGGCTCTGGAAGTTAAACAATTTGATAAACAGCTGAGGAAACTAGGTATGACTAGCCTAACAAAAATAAGGTGTATGATAGTTGTCTTCCGATAACTGAGGAGCTGTCATAGAGAAAAGGGAGTTGACTTATTCTCCAAAGCATAATATATTTGCATCATCACATATTTGAATTTGGAGTAGTAGTCATTTTAGTCAGAATTAACTATCATTTGAATGAAACTTTCCATGTTTTATCTGCCAAAATTTCCTAGCTATATATAGAATAATTAAAGGCGTAAAAGATCTGCCAAGAAAAAGGTTGTTGGCCTACATTCATGCCAACATCGTGCTATAATCTCTCTATGTGTATGATATGAAGGATGATATGTATATTATTAGATCTCTTCCCATAGCTTTTAAATGAAGCTACCTCACTTACTTTTCTTGATCTCTCTAGCAGGTATCTTTCAAAAGGAAAATTTAGTATTATAATTTTGTTCTTAATCAATGGAAAGACTTGCCTTCAGAAGCTGTGGGTGCTTCAACACTGGGCGTTTTTAAGAAGGGATTGGACAACTATTTGTCTGAAATGGTACAAAGTTTCCTGCTTGAGTAGTAAATTGGACTAGAAGACCTCCAAGGTCCCTTCCAACCCTGTTATTCTCAGCAATAATAAAAGGGATTCGGGGAATAAATTTTAATATAAGGCTCATGTGATGATAAGAATTAGCATCTATTATTTCCCTTTCCCTTTTCAATCCATTTTTTCTTTTGTTATGTTTTATTACATAAACAAACAGTTGAGGTGTGACCCCGAGAGCTTTTTAGACTGAAGAGCAGGATGAAGCAGCTGAAGAGTAGCTTGATTACCTACCTTGGCTACACAGCAGGCCAGCACACCAAAGGACAGCAAGAAAGGTAGGATACGCATCTCTGCAATTTTGGCTAAAGAAAAATTAGGAAGAGGAAGCATGAGGGCACATTCTACTGAGATTAAGAGAATGTATTCATACCAGGGGTGAAATCCAGCAGGTTCTGAGAGGTTCTGGAGAACCGGTAGCAGAAATTTTGAGAAGTTCGGAAACCGGTAGCAGAAATTTTGAGTAGTTTGGAGAACTGGCAAATGCCACCTCTGGCTGGCCCCAAAGTGGAATGAGAATGGAGATTTTGCAGTATCCTTCCCTTGCCATGCCCCCAAGCAATGCCCACATAACCGGTAGTAAAAAAAATTGTATTTCACCACTGATCCATACCCATGAAAAAAATTTTTAAGTAGTTAACAATTAGTGTACAAATGAAAATAAATACTTAATCTATTAAGTATCTTAAATAAAATTGTTCACCATAAATAATATTTACACAAAGTTTAGTTTAACGTAAGTCTCACTCAGTGCTCTGCCTTATATAGCACACTGTGTGACCATTGCTAAGGATGCCTAAGAGATTTGTTTAGCTTGCATTTATCCAATTTCTTGTTTTCATGATAATACATTTGTCTGTATTTTGCAATGAAATAGCCAGTAGTTACAGAATTTAAAAACTGGAAATATCAAATGTGTATATATTACGGAAATAATGTATAAGGTACAATATGTTAGGAAACTTATTAAAACTATGCTTATGAAGAAGTGTGTGTGTGTGTGTGTGTGTGCGTGCGCACGTATGCACATAACTACAATTTCAAAGTGAAATTTCAACTGAAATATTTGAAAGTAAAATTATTCTCAAATTTAACAAACAGGATATGGTGTATTTGTTAGGAGGCAAAGCAAAAAAAACCAAAGAGTTGTTGAGAGTCATATGGTACACAAGTTTAATAATAGAATGACACATTAATTTTTTAACCATAAATTCTAGACTCTGAAAGAAGCATCTGACCCAGGGATAAGGATGGTGCCCTCTCTTCTAAGGTTCTGGAAAGTTTGACAATCTGGCTTTGGTTTCTTTATGAAACATATTGAAATAGCTAAATATATAATCAATATAAAATATATAAGCGAGATACCCTGTTATCTCCATTGACTCAACCAAGAAATAGCTTAATAATTGAAGGCCAGCCTTCTAGGGCTGTTGAGGTTGATAGAAATTTTGTTTAAAATCAAAATTCTGTATAGCTTGGCTCCGAGTAATTCTCAAGGAAGCCACTTCTGTAGCAGATATATTTAGCAGCCTTAGCAGATTTGAGTTCCAGAATACTTATTTAGATTTTGCCATACTTGTAACCACATCTGCCGTACTTAGAGTAAATAAAGTATCTGGAAATTTTTCTCTCTTTGAACATTAATATGAAAAGGAGTACTCACTTGGCAGTAAAGACACGTTCAAAAGCAGATGGACAGCACTTCTGATTCGTTTTGCCTGTGCTGCTTTTGCTTTCTTGTTCGACTTTGCTTGCAAAAAAGGCTGAGGTATTTTTAAAAAAGAATGCACAATGAATTTTTATTGTAGGTTTTGCTTTTTCTTGATGTAGAATACCAAAGTTACTAAGATACTTGAATATAATTATAATATCAAAAACAGCAGTGAAACATTTCTATTAAGCACACAGTTAAAATTATTAGTTTTTCTATTAAAATAGCAATCTGTTTAAATACGTGAAAATATTTCTATGACAATATAATAGCTAGCTAGCAAAATGTCAGTATGAAACAGAAATATTGCATTGCAACAGATAGGTTTTTTAAAATTCAAAATAGTATGGTTAGATATAATAAATGTACCCAACCTATTAAAAGCCTTCTTCCCATCCCCTCAAAGTCCTGCTGTGCCACCTCGTTGTGTAGTGGTGGGGTGTTTATTGGAGGAGTATATTGCAAGAGTATATAATCTCAGCAAGTTCATTCAAGGTGTGAAGGTCATCCCAGCTGCCCAGCTAAAGCAAGCAAGCATTATAATGGGCAACAGCAATATAGAAAGGTGCTGGAGGCAGATTATAATTTTAGGGACAATGGCAAAGCCATCATTTCATACTGTGTGGGAGAAGGTAGTGGTAAATTACTCCTGCACTTTATCAAGAAAATCACATGGATAGAGAATATAAAATGATTGGTAATATAGTGCTGGATAATAGACCTACTGGGTTGGATAGCACTTAACAAGGAACAAGGAAGAACTGAAGCTCACTTAGAAACAAATGATGTTTATGGGGTAGTTAGAGTAAAGCCTTTGAAATATCTAGTTGTCCAGGTTACCATGTACAAAAATAAAACCCGAAGGTTAAAAGACAGAATTACAATGTGAATGTAGAATATAAGAAGCTTGAATATGGGAGGATTCAACAGGAAGTGCTCCAGCTGGACAGAGATGGGAGATGTGGGCTCCTAAGAGTCTCCATGAACCCTGTCTGACAAACCATCTTGAAAGATTCTTTTCAATCTGAACCCGCAATGGAGGTGGGGGCGAAGAAGGGCAGCGTCTCATCAGACCCTGAGAGAAGCAATAGATCTCTCGTGGGTTAGAGATTTGCCTATGAATCAGAGTCTGGGCGGCAGCTTCCATGGTTGACAAGATGCTGGTCTTTTTGTCAAAATAAGTTTGGAACAGGCAGAGACCGGGAGAGATAAAAGACCTGGTAAGAGAATTTATCTAACCCACAACTATAAATTCAAACTGGAAAAAGCAAAGAAATTTTGAGAACATAAATAATACTGATGGTCAGATCGGGACTTTTTTTTTNGGTTGACTCAGCCTTCCATCCTTCCGAGGTGGGTAAAATGAGGACCCGGATTGTTGTTGGGGGCAATATGCTGACTCTGTAAACCGCTTAGAGGGGGCTGAAAGCCCTATGAAGCGGTATATAAGTCTAACTGCTATTGCTATTGCTATGTAATAATCCAGGAAATAATGTGATTGGGATGAGTTTTGTTGTGCCTCTTCTTGCATGCTCATTTTTTTGGGGTGTGTTTTAATACACACAATGCATCAACGTATAAGTGTATAAATTTAATAGAAAAATGGGAGAGAAGAGATAAATATTTTTTGTAATTGATGACCGTGTAAAAGAGTGCTGACCACTGAGTGTTGATTCTGTGTGAATACAGTAAAGTTCCTTCCTGAAGTTGAAAACAATCAGACTGTGTAAAAAAAACAACAACACTAGATTTGCTGCTGCTTATTTTCTGTCTAGTGGCAAAATGTGTCTCTTGCTATTGACATATTTGGGGGTTTTCTTCTGTGAACTAGAGCTAGGTGAGAGCCATTTGGTAAATTAACATCTGAATGTGGCCTACAGATAATTGCAGATGAACATTCAGATTAAATTTCTGTCTGGAAATTACTATGTCAAAGCCATCCTCTAGATGGCACTTTCTAACTCTGGTAAAATATTTTGGGGCCTCAGTTATTAACAGTCTTTTAAAAGGCAGTATCTGCAAAGGTTTTTTTAGATAGTAGAAGAAGCGAACTAAAGATTCAGGGCTGAGCACACATGTATCCGGGACATATTGGGCTTTTCAAACCCAAAATAATAGAAGTTTAACTACCGTGTTTCCCAAAAAATAAGACAGGGTCTTATTTTGTTTTGACCCCTGGAATAAGCACTTGGCCTTATTTTTTGGGGGTGTGTGTGTTTCTTATTATTTTTGAGGTGGAGGAGGCGGTGAGTGTGGTCACCTCATGCCTGTTGCTGTGTTGCAATATTTTCAGGGAGGACTTATTTTCGGGGGAGGGCTTATTTTAGTGCATGTGCTCAAAAGCCAGATTGGGCTTATTATCCGGGGAGGTCTTATTTTTGGAAAAAAACAGGGTAGAATGTATCTTGCAGATCAGGTGTATCCAAACTTGGCAACTTTAAGGCCTATGGATGGACTTCAGTTTCCCCAGTTGGCCATGTGAATGGTGAATTTTGAGAGTTGAAGTCCACGTCTGAAAGTTGCCTAGGTTTCTACTCTTGCTGTAGCTAGAGAAAGATAGCACAACCATTTCCACACTGAAAGGAAGCCAATGTGATTTATGGACCCACTCAGAGAAGCTTTTAGATGCAAGGAATTTTCTATCACAGAACAGAGAGCTTGCTGAAGGAACGAACGAGAAGACACACACCAAGGTGACAAGTCAAGAGCTCTCCGGGCAGACAATGGGGGGAGAAAAGTTAGAATCTGAGGAGCACGTTGCTGGAATTCACCACCACTAGGTCCATACCTACACATAACGTATCTTCACATTATTTACTGTAAAGTGCTTGGATTATTAGAATTGATGGAGGGGCTAAGGAATATAACATGATTGCAGATTTACTGGGGAAATGGCAGGCAAATACAATATCTGAACTGACATTTACAAGAAGGGAATCTGAAGAGTTGACTCAAATGAGAAGGATGTTGAAGGATGATAAATATTTAAAATATTCAAATATGAAGCTGCTGGCTTTCCAACAAAAACATAAATGCTTGAGGACAGAAAAGTGGCCAATCAGAAAAGTGTAGAGTTGGGAGGGAACTTAGGTGGCATTTTGCTCACTCTTCCCGCAGTGAAGGATTGATCAGATCAGTATTTCTTAATCTTGGCAACTTTAAATATGTGGACTCCAATTCCCAGAATTCTTCAGCCAGCTCTTCTGGAAGTTAAAGTTGCCAAGGTTGAGAAACACTGAATCAGAGCATTGACGGCATCACTATCAATTTGTTTTGAAGACCTCCTATGAAGGAGAACTAAACACTTCATGTTGCAGCCTCTTCCTCTGGCTGATAACTCATTTAGTCAGGTTTAGTTTTGGCCCCATCCCCGGGACAACCGAGAACGACAATCACTCCATCTTCTATCTGACAACTTCAGATTTACTTGAAGATTGTTATCATAGCTGCCCCCAACTTTTAAGCTGTGTGGACTTCAACTCCCAGAATTTCCCAGCTGGCACGCTCACTAGGGAATTCTGGGAGTTGACGTTCACACAGCTTAAAGTTGACGTGAATGGGAAATATATCATGAAACGTCACGTGATGCAACATGATGGGGCGAGTTCGACACCCGTGACTTAGAGGAACAGGAGATTGGGGATCACATTTGGTCTCCAAGTAGCACTTCAAGGATGGCTGTTCAGAAACAGGGAGACCTGAAGTGGGTAAAGCAAAATTAAAAGCCAAATTCGATTTAATTTACATCTAATTAAAATGGACCAAACTATTGGTTAATATAACACCTCCCTTTTCCAGATTGTGTCTTCATGTTATACAAAATAAATCTTGTGGGGATAAATTGATATGACAGCTGGGTTAAAGTTTGAATTGTTAAAGATACTGTACTTAAAACATTTCTTAAAACAGCAACTAAATCAATATATGTGCTGAAAGAAAAAAGTGCAGTTTTCATGGCATTAATCCAGATTGTAACGGTTTTGAATAACCCAGAATTGCACAAGTCCTGAAATGTATTTGAGATTTTGGCCTTACTGTGGTGCTGCATAATCTTCCCACTAATAGAGGCCTTCAGATCGCCACGGTGACCTTTAAAGGCCATGTGACACGAGGCAGAATTAATTGTGTTATAGCCACTGATGTATTGTGCTGATGTTTGTGCATCTCTCAGCACAGGGGATGTCATAACTTGCTTTGCTCATTCATGCCAGTGTCTCATTAGCACAACAATTAGATTGTTTAAATCTGCAATTCCAAAGTATTGTTTCTTGCCTTGCTCTTAGGATGAAATGAAATCTGCCTGCAGCTGTGACTCTTACTAGAGAAGGCAGTAACTATCCTTCACTTAAATCAAAGGTCATGGAGAGTAACTGCTCAACAGAAGACTGCATTCACTCTCCTGCAAAATGGCATCGCTGTTGCTCATTACAACCTCCTACTTTCTCGCCAGTTCTATTATGGTAAACAAAAATGTAAAAATCTCAACTTCTCGAAAGAAGCGTGGCTGCTCATTTAACTTCATTCCTGGGGGAAAGTACTCTGCACTGCAAATTGACGCAGATCTCGCTTGCTTCAGATTAAAAAAAAAGAACCAAAGTCACAGAATCTTGGGGGAAATGTAATTTATTTTGCAGCTGACATTTTGTGGATTCCTTCTGCAACTCTCATTGTTTCACACACGGACCACACGTTTGAAAAGGCAAATACAAAGGCATATTCTGCAAGGCATGCAAATGTGAGAACAGCTTGTATAGTGGAAAACATAATGGCATCAGTTTATTTCAAAGTGTACAGTAGGGCATTTGAAAAAAACAACATCAATGTCAGTGATTTGCCTATTTTGTGTGTATATGTACAATATTACATCTGGTACTATGTTTTGAGAAATACATAAGAACACACTATACATGCTAAAGCACTGATTTCATCACTGTGAACAACTTTATTTTAAATGCCAATATGATACAAAACAATTCAGCTAAACAGATATTTTCCGCTTTATTATTAAATTAAACTCTCTGGGCTGAGGATAACTACCATGCGATTGAATCT